CGTCACTGAGCAGGTGCCGTTTGATAGCACTGTTGATGACACACCTTCCAACACTTTACTGATGATCGACAGTAGACTGATGGGGTGGGAATTGGCCGGGTTGTATTTGTCCTGCTTTTTCTGTACCGGACATACTTGGGCAATTTTCCATATTGTCAGGTAGATACCAGTGTTGTAATGTCACTGGAAGAGCTTGGCTAGGGGAACAGCAAGTTCTGGAGTGCAAGTCTTCAGTACTATTGCTGGAATAACATCAGGGCCTGTAGCCTTTGCAGTATCCAGTACTTCCAACCTTTTCTTATGTGAAGTGAATCGAATTGGCTGAAGCATGGTATCTGTAATGCTGGGGACCACTGGAGCAGGCCGAGATAGATCATCCACGCAGCACTTCTGGCTGAAGATTGCTGTGAAAACTTCAGCCTTAACCTTTTGCACTGATGTGCTGAGCCCTTCTGTCATTGAGGATGGGGATATTTGTGGAGCCTCGTCTTCCTGTGAGTTGTTTAATCATCCACCACCATTCACGACTGGATGTGGCAGGACTGCAGAGCCTAGATCTGATCCGTTGGTTGTGGGATTGCTTAGCTTTGTCTATAGCTTGCTGCTTTCGATGTTTGGTGGCTTCACCAGGTTGTTACCTCATCTTTAGGTATGCCTGGTGCTACTCCTAGCATGGCCTCCTGCACTCTCCATTAAACCAGGGTTAATCCCCTGGCTTGATGGTAATGGTTGAGTGAGGGATATGCCAGGGCCATGAGGTTACAGATTGTGCTTGAGTACAATTCTACTGCTGTTGATGGCCCACACCACCTTGTGGATGCCCAGACTTGAGTTGCTAGATCTGTTCAAAGTCTGTCTCATTTAGCACTGTGATAATGCCACACAACACGATAGGTTATTCTCAGTGTGAAGGCAGGGCTTCATCTCCACAAGGACTGTGCAGTGGTCATTCTTACCGATACTGTCATGGACAGATGCAACTGCAGCAGGCAGATTGGTAAGGATTAAGTTAAGTATACTTTTCCCTCTTGTTGGTTCCCTCGCCACCTGCTGCAGATCCAGTCTAGCAGCTATGTCTTTCAGGACCTCGACCAGCTCGATCTGTAATACTGCTGCCGAGCCACTCTTGGTGGTGGACGTTGAAATCCCCCCACCCAGAGTACATTTTGTGCCCTTGCTTCCTCCAAGTGTTGCTCAGCATTGAGGAGTACCGATTCATCAGCTGAGGGAGGGCGGTATGTGGTAATCAGCAGGAGGTTTCCGTGCCCATGTTTAACTTGAATCCATGAAACTTCATGGGGTCTGGAGTCAATGTTAAGGACTTCCAGAGTAAATCCCTCCCAACTGTATATTACTGTGCCACCCCGTCTGCTGGGTCTGTCCTGCCGGTGGGACAGGACTTACCCAGGGATGGTGATGGCAGTGTCTGGGACATCGTAAGGTATGATTCTGTGAGTATGACTATGTCAGGCTGTTGCTTAACTAGTCTGTGAAACAGCTCTCCCAGTTTTGGCTCTAGCCCCCATATGTTAGTGAGGAGGACTTTGTAGGGTTGACAGGGCTGTTTCTGCCGTTGTCTTTTCCAATGCCTAGATCGATGCCTGGTGATCGGTCCAGTTTTATTTCTTTGTACCAATCACTACAAAGTCTCAATCAATTGAATGGCTTGCTGGGCCATTTCAGAAGGCAGTTGAGAGTCAACCCTATTGCTGTGGGTCTGGAGTCACATGTAGGCCAGACCTCATGAGGATGGCAGATTTCCCTCCCTGAAGGATATTAGTGAACCAGATGGGCTTTTTCTGATCATCAGTAGACTCTTAGTTCCAGAGTTTTTTGTTTTATTGAATTCAAATTCCACTATCTGCCGTGGCAGGATTCGAACCTGGGTCCCCAGAATATTATCTGGGTCTCTGGATTAATAGTCTACTATGAGACCATTGCCTTCCCCTTTGAAACGTTATTCACAGGAGCACATTGTATTGATCTAGTTATCAAAGAAATAATGCTGAAATTCATGTTCTGTCCTGCAGGTTCTGCTTGGAGGCAAAAATATTGAAGAAGGTTTTGGAATTTCTTTCAGAGTTATTCAGGTAATGAAAATAGTTCCTTTTCCCACCAACCCCCATAATTTTAGAGCATTCTGCAATGAGTTCAGCAGTTCTAGATCATAACTTGTGTCTCCATTTTCTTTTGTTTATCTTTGCTGGTTTGGCTTTTTGCCCCGTTTCTCTCATTTTCTTGGCTTTTGGAAGACAGCCATTCCGGATCCTACAATTCCTATCTCCTGTATGTTGTGTGAGCAGTCCTCATCACTGATCTCCATGTTGTAAGAGGCTGTCTGCACTATTGCTCACAGTGGAGTAGGTATGCTGCCACCATCCATCCTCTTTTAGTGTAGGGATGTACACAGTCTGCTTTGTCTGGTGTGGTAGAGAAAAAAAAAACTTACTGGTCCAACGAGAAGAAGCTCTTGTTTTAAACAAGTATGTTAACAACTAACTGCAAATTACACTGATGGATTAAGTATTGTTGCAACATCTGACGAAGACTGTTTTGAGATTCTAAGCTGTTCCCCCACCAAGTTCATATGATATCATCATAATGGAAGGTGCTGTAGCCTTCCTTAATATTAACCCTTTCAGACCTTTATGCAACACTGTCAACACACCATTTGCCACTTTGCTGTCTCATTGCCAATCCCTATGGTCTTCCATTCTTTTTCTGTCTCTGTAGATGCTGCCAGCCTTCCTGTGAATGTTGAGCATTTTCTGTTTCCGTTTCAGATTTTAGACAGAGTATTTTGCTTTTGTAGCTCCCTCGATGACCTGACCTGTCCAGCTGTGAATGTTCCAGCTTTGGATCCCTGTTCTGAGTTGCTTGATCTAATCTCAGCAGGGCAGATGGTAGGTTGCTGCAATCAGTCCACATTGCTGAGCAAGTGGAAGAATGAGATAAAGTGGAGTTTTACTGCCATAACCACAAGTCTAGACCTACATTAAAACAATCTGCCCCAGGGTGAAATTGTTGGAGCTAAAACACCTTAACTCAGTATGGGGCAACACCTTTAGCAGTGGAGTAGAGGAAAAAGCAGCTGCTTTAAAAATATTGTTCTACAAAAGAGCATGAGTGTATTTTTGGGTGCAGTGGATTGATGTGGTGAAACCATCGAATTTTAACTGGAGGAAAGTACATCTAAGGTTTTAGAGTAGATTTGTAGCTCGGGTTGTGGATGTTGTGATTCGGCGAGCCAACCAACCACAGGAAAGTACATTTAACAGAGGAAAAGGAAATCGAAAACAAATCAAGAAATCTGAAAATTTACCAAAAGCGAAAACAGGAAAGTTGAAGCATTAAAGAAAGAATTGACATATCGGGCCCTAAAGATTTGAAAAGGGCACATTCATAGTATGACAGCAGGCAAAGGAGTGCTGTTAACAGATAATGGAGGCAGACGAGCAGTGGAGAGTGATGTTTGGAAATTACATTAGCTAAGTACTTTACTCGTGCTTGTCCAGAAGAGGTGGATATTGTACAGTTATCAGAGGTCCTTGCAATACAGTCAAAATTCCACAGAAGATTGTATCAAAAAACTTATTCAGACTTGTGAGAATCAAATTGCCCAGGTGCAGAGTTTAATGTGGTAGGATTCAAAAGCTGGGGAGGGAATATTGGAGGCTGTAACTTTGAAAACAAAAAACACGCAGGATGTTCCAGGATACTCATTAGAAATATTCCTACTCATTTTTACTTTGTTCTGTGCAAATTATTCAGCAGGGCATTGAAAAAGGCCCAGTGTTTTTGTTTGTGACTTGTTTGCACTGTGTGGTATGCTGCACACCAAAGTGCTTAAAGGCAACGTTGGTCATTGGTGGACTATCAGAATCTATAGCAGAGAAGAGCATTATTGAGGATTTGGAGAAATTAGAGTCAATTGGATCTAATCCGTAGGAAGGTGTAAAGGAAAGGTCATACATCACATATCAAATATATGAAGAAAAATATGTTTGGGTTAACAGGATGATAGCTAGGACAGAATGCTAAGGATGGGAATGAAGAGAAAAGTTGATTGGATTGGAAAGATATGGTAAGTAAGGGTCATGTTGAAGTACTGTTTTTAACAAGCTCACAAGTGACTTGAACTGAGGAAATAGTACGCGGAATGAATGGGGGCAAGGGGTGCTAGAACCAAGGTTGACAAAGACTGTGAAACATTGCAGGATAAAACTGGAGGAGAATGGGGAGGTATATAGCATATATAATCAAATGTAGAAGAACTTGAAAGGTGTAGAGGTTTATAGTCTCTTGATACATGCCAACTGTGCTAACTTGCAGCTGAAACAAGCTAAAGCTTAAACATTGTCGTGCTTTTGCCCCACAACCTCTTCAAATGTGTATCTGCTTTCCATTCAATTTTCAATGATCTTGGCCTCATGTATTCGCTGTCCCAAGACCTTCCAAGCTCCAGTAGGTCTTTAAAGGAATTTTCAACCTTTTCTGTGCCCTCTCTTAGTTTCACTTTTAAGATCGCTCACATCTCATCACAAATTTCCCAGTCAGAGGCAATAGTCATCCCTTATTCCTTCTGTAAAGCTGTTCAATTTTAAACATTTCTGCTAAATCTCTTCCACTTCAGTGGTATTGCCCTGCTTGTCATGTTCGTCTTTCTGACTGTAGTTTCACATCTGTCTTAACATCTTCAACTTAGTCACTGGAAAGTTATACACTTCCAAATTCCTATGTATTCTTAAAGAACAGGATATTTTTGCATTCCTTCATTCCATTTTTATTTTTATTTCTAATCCAGGCCTTTCAGTTGGATGCTGCTGCTGTATATGACAAAACTGCAAAACATTTACTGCAATATCGCAAGTTCTGTCAAATCAGACAGTTACTGAAATGTGTCAGTGAATCGGGAGTGGCTAGTGGCGATGACACTGATAACCTCCTTATCCGATTTATTGAAGGTGGCGATGAACACCTTTCACAGGTGAGAACAGTCTAATTGCGAACCACCAGTGGAGGAGAGTACCTTACTTGTTTCTCAAGAAAATGATACCTCTCTGGATTAAAAGGATTGTCAAATCATGAGGTTGAGAAAATCGGGTCTATGTTCTTTGGAGTTTGGAAGCTTGAGAGGTGATCTCGTTGAACCATACAAGATAATGAAGGAGCTTCACAGGGTAGTTACTAACACATTTGTTTCCCCTGACTGGAGAACCTTGAACAAGGGGGTTTAGCTTAAGAATAAGGGCTGATTGTTTAGGAGTGATATGAGAAAAGAGTTGAGTTGTTCTAATTATTGACCCCAGAGCGTTGTGGATGCTCCATCGTAGAATACATTTAACGTTAGGACAGACAGATTTTTGGTGTCTTGGGGAGCAAGTGGAAAAGTGGGGTTGGAGCCCAAGGTCAGCTGTGATCATACTGCATGGTGGGGCAGGTTTGACTGGACATATGGTCTACACCACCTCCTATTTCTTGTGTTCTTGTATCTCTTCCTCTATACAGGTCACATGGATGTAGTATCTGTTCTTGCACCACACAATGCCCTAAACTAAAGGACTGCAGTTAATTTGAAAGATGTTGCTGCAGCCTCATTGCTCTATCCACAATTAAATTTCTGTTTTTTGCAAGGTAGCAGGAATGCAACTACACTTAAGTTCAGGTACACACCTACAAAAGATGTCTTACGATGCCATACCTTTTGGGAATCTGCCTAGTAGTATAAATCTAATTTTCATTAGTTACTGAATTATTCATTGCATAGAAGATCAGCGAACACTCCCCGTGGTCATATTTAAGAGTATCACAGCTGCCAGTGCTACAGGCTAAATATCAAACCAGGACTTGACTGACTTCAGTATTGATGTAAGCATTAAATGTAAAAGTTTTTGTTGTAAGAGTGCACAATTCTCCCAGTCATTTTCACTTTACAAGATACAAAAAAAAACAAATACTAACTGCTGATAAAAGAAGTAGCCAATTTTAGGAAAAGGTTTGTCCTGATGCATAACACAGTCTAACTGGTTCCAACTCTGATTCTGTTCGGTAAAATTTTCTGGGAAATAAAAATATAATCAAACCAAGCCGTTAAAATTTCAGTGAAAATGTTCTTTATTCATAATTCTAATTAACATATTTGCTAAGTTCTGTTCACTTCAAGTAACAATCATTTATTTTAGGCAAAGGAATTCTTGGAAAATAAAGCATCTGTTATCTATTTAAGGGTTAGGATTTCAAACTGGGATCCATGGAGCTTAAGGTTTTTGACAGGATCAGGTATCTGTCTGGGATTCGGCATACTATGCTGTATCTACAGACTCTGTATTGTTTGTTTTTCTACACTTTTTTCCTCTATTTATCAACTACCTAATATATTTTTGCTATTGTTATGATGCCCATCGAGACTGATAACTGGAAGTTCAAATTTCTTAAAAGCTGAACATGACACAAGATATCATGTTTTAGATGCAAATTGTAACAAGCAAACAAAAAATTCTATGACCAAATACTTTCTGTCGGCATCTTGTAGTTCAAACTGCAGAACTCTACCAGAACAAAAAAAAATCACCATCAGGTATATATTACACTGCCCTTAACTAGACATTCGGTTCTCCCATAAACAGTCCAAAATTATTCTTAGCTCCCAATAGTTTACTTCTGTGCTTTTTATTTCTTGGTCCATTTACTTCTAACTCCAAATCTATCTTTCACAGTGAGACTGTTCGCAGAGATTCTCTCTAATGCAAGCTGAGAGAATTATCCTACTTTGTTTCAATACCTCATGATTTTGGTCTTTTCAATCCAAATGTGAGCAACCATTTGCATTCTGATGTGATGAATCATTGAGATTTGCTGTTTTATCTTTCTCAGATCATGGCAGAGTAACTGTCCCTGTGGTATTTAGTGAAAGCCTGTAACTAGATATTACAATAGTTTCCTCTGTTCCCTTTCCATCTCAAAGTCCATCACCATGGTAATGTGAATCACGTGGACCTTGTATTAAGGAAGAGATGCTGATTAGCTACCATTTAGACCCCAACTCTTCTTCATCTTTGGATTAAATTGACAATTTAAAGCATAATTGTAAAGCACAAATGACTTCTCAAAGCTTTTCTGGGATTTTGGAGGACCTTAGTCTAACCATTGTTAGCACATTGGCTGTTGACATTGTCTCCAAGTGTAAACCTCTTGTATCTATTTCCCAGTAAAAATAAACCTTGGCCTCCTTTAATCTCTAACAATCACACCACTTAGTGTCAGGCAAGACTTAAATAACTCCCCCTTCATTTTACTTTCAAGGCATAATCCCAAAATGTAGAAATAAATTTCATTATTACAGTCATGTACACAGACTATTAAGGAATGTTTTCTCCAATGATAGTGATTTCTTTGGGAAACTAACACTTTTGGATGTTCGGACAGAGGACTCCCAAGTTTGCATTGGTATTCTCAAAGCACCTTGAAAAATATTGATATTTCTAGATTGAGCCACACGGACACATTTGAACATTACTGGAGTTGCACCCTTGTGCTTTTGAATTTCACTCTCATTATGTTGCTGATCTCGAATTGCTCTGTATCTTTTAAATTGCAAAATTTGCTACATTTGTTTTAGTCAAATTGCAGAGTGACAAAGCAATGGGGTCCTCTAGTGGGCAAGAACACCATTTAGAATTTAAGGTAAAATTCTCCATTAGATGTCAATATGCAACTCAGATCATTCTATCTGAACACATTTTGGGAGAAAAAATATCTTTTTAATTTTTAGCTTCAAGGCAGATTGCTAAATTAGGTTTACCATGCACACGTTTTTTTGCTATTTGTTTTGTATGAAAGACAATATAAAGTAACTTGTTTCTAATACTGCAAATCTGAAATTCTGGCCTTACTTAGCCATTCATTTTTCTCTCCAGTCTTCAGATTTTTACAGCCGAAGTTCATTTGTGGCATTTCTTAATGCAAACAAAAATCTTTTTTAAGTCTTGTTTGTGTTGCCCGATGGGCTTTGATTCTTCTTTTTTCAGTTTGAGAAAAATAAGTTATGAACATCTTAGTTAAATGCAACAATTTTGTGTTGGAAATTTGGCTATATTGAAGTCCATGCAGAACCAATGAATATGTATGTGTAAGGTCAAACGTGGAGTACTTTATTGTTGTATAATCTACATAGAAAATGTGATGATACTATGGTTTTAAGAGGTGTATTTTGTCCATTTCCTTAATGAAGAGAGGTAGAGACAGAAGTGAAGAGTGGTCTGTTCCAAGCAAATAAAGTAAACATCTTGTAGGCCTTTTTATTTAATGTTGAACAATAGAAGCAGCATGAAGGGGTGGGGTCAATCTCCCATGGAACCAGGACTTTCGTATAACTTTCTGTAGCTTTTAGGGTTTGGAAGCTGCTATCTCTCTGTGATACGGAAAAATGCTTGGGTTCTCTCCCCCTCCCCCTCCCACTCCCCACTAGGTTTTCCCTTGATGTTCTTTCTTCTGGAGTGGAGAATTGCATTTGAGACAGTCTATTTTACTGAATTTGCCTTTGCCACGGGTGTGTTTGTGGGATCTAACTATATTAAAACAGTTGCTGTTTAGTAGTTAAATAGTCTATTATACTGTTAAGTTTTCCAATAGAGTTAAGTTATCCCAATTCTTCCTTCTTTTGTTTGGAATTTTAACTATAGTGTAAGAATAAAGTGTATTTTGCTTCATGCCTGGTAGTTTGACTTATTGAATTGCACCTGGAACACAACACCTTACACTTGCCTTTTAAGAAAAAAAAAAAGAAGAAAAAGTTGGAATCTAGGCAATTTTCTTAATATATTTTGAGGGGGTTTGGTCTGGTCCATAATATAAAATTAGGACTAAATGCATTTCATCAAATCTCTTGGTGGTTTGTCTTCTGTCCCTTGTAGGACACTACTCTGTCATATACAACTATTTTAATACTTTAAATTTTATTCCAGAAAACAATTAATAACCCATGCAAAACAACACTTTTATAATTTAAAACAAGAAAATATTTATTTACGAACATTAGAAACTATGTTTAGTTTTTATTTAATCTGAATTGATTTCATATTGTTTCTGAAGAGACTTTTCCTTATGATATCTGTGCTTGGAGTGTTCTATCTTGTATATGCAATACATATTTATCCACTGCTATCCTTCTACAATTTGCACGGGTTAACCAAATCCACTCGACCCAGCTGTCATAACCATTGTTGAATTTTTTTTTCTGTCCCACCTCTACCACTGTACAGGAGAAGTTCCAGCCACTTTCTAAAGGAATGAATCTTATTCACTCTATTTCCTGAGCTCATGCTGAGCGACATACTTGACCAAGAATGTATAAAACACACCGCATTGTGAACAGCTTTATTCCCCTTTATTTGTCCCTTAAAGTTTTGGATGCCAATTTTGAGATTATAACTGTTACACATGTCATTGCAAGGCTCTCCCTGATTACTCAGCTATGTCAGTTACCTGTCAATGTGTACTTTTCTAAGTCAGTTGTTAAAGGACTCAGCTTTTGTAAGCCATGCACTAATTGGTCTTTTGTTGAAGAAGGTTAATCACATGAGTCTCACAGAACCAATTATTCCTGTATTGAGTGATTCACTATCAAGTATGTTCTTGTTGAAGAATGCCACAAATTGCATGATTTTGAACCCTACCGTGAGAGCCTTGGATAGGTAAATTAATTGCAGTAATATTTCAACAGATTGATGAATTAATTCATATTTTTGCAGTCAAAAGACCTGGAGAAACTGATTCTTGAAATGAAGAAAGATGAAAATAAGGTAAGCAAGGATGAAATAAGCTGAAACTTTTTAGGTCACATAGTAAAAATATTTCTAAACTCCCACTGAAAGATTTCAAAGTTAGAAGGTAGGTAAACTCTTACTACAGCAAATTTATCCAGTCACCATTTGAAGTGTAAAGATTTAAAGGCCAAGGAGAGCCACAGCAACTGTAGTTATGATCACAGATTGAGGTTATATTGAGAACTCTGTCATTGTGCAAAGCTCAGTCAGCTTGAGTTTGAAAATGTTGTTAAAGTAAAGATCCCAGAGGTTTTCTGTCCTTTTGGAAATAACTACATCATTATTAATTATAATTATGTGTGGATTATACCTCTGAGAAAAATCTTTACTACTTGGAACATTGACAAATCGCGTTCAGTGTGGTACTCCAATTAAATAAGTTCTGTGAAGTTTTTCAGAAATCTTAACACTACAAAATATGGAAGAAAGTCAGCAATTGAAATTGATGAACTTTACCTGATATAACTACTTCTGTGCTTTGGAAAAGACTCTGTGCGTAATTTCTAGAAAGTTTTGATCTGCACTTTACGGAAGATATCTTGTAACATCGTGTTTTGAATGTATCCACAGATTAAAGCCTTCCTGTTGTGTCGTAAATATCGGTCTGCCTACTTGGTTGCTGTGAAGCTGGAACAAATGCAGGCGGTGCGCAATGTACAGGAAGTGCTGGAGGCTGCTGAAAGAGCTGAGGATGAACTCATACCAAAAATTTGTAGGGACTGGCTGAAGTCACACCAGCTTAAGACTGTACAACAAAAAACCCACCGCAAGTAATCTGGAAGAATCACAAGGACAAAAAGAATTGTAATTGCTACCTCAAAAACATTTGCCATGAAATATTAGGTTTAACAAAAAAAAGACGAGAATGAAGTCTCAAAGATTCTTTGTACAATTATGGATATTGTAGTATCATTTTGTTATGTAACCTGAAGAAATCTTTACATTTTAAACTTCAAATAGAAAAATCAATTGGTAAGCTCTTTTATACTCCTCCCCATCTGCAGCATTCTGATTTTGGATTTATTTCAAGGTAACTGGCTGTGTAAGCCATAAGGCTTCTGTTAGACAGGAGTTGACTATTTGGCTGATTAGAGAATGGTACTGTAATAACTGGTTTGTTGGCAGAGTTCTTTTAGAAGAGTGGAGGTTACCAACATTCAGAGTTGATCTCATTCACATGAAGCCTACATGGGTTGCTATTTGCGGGCGGGTGGCGGGGTCAAGACAATTCCAATTTCATGTCTTGTGTTTGTGGTCAGCGTTGCATAGCCTCAACTCCATTTGGTTTGACTTACCTAGTTACACTGATTTAACCAGATCATTTTTACAGAAAACCTGATGCTGCTGTACAAGTACCAATGTGATTTAGTACATTTCCAAAGCAATTTCCATTGAAACCTGAGCTTCGAAGTGGAACAATATGTGCCATATTTCATCATTGCATTTTCTGCAGTCACTTTTTGGAGTGTGACCACCATCCCCTCCAAGTTGTTGAGCAAAAATTTATAAATGTCAGCATCACAATCAGCCAAACGTTTCACTGATGAAGTTTCATGATGTCTGCTGTTGTCAATCAGCAGCTTGAGAATTCCATTTGCACCTTTTGTGACTTGACTTATCTAGAGGTGACCAAATAAAAGCAAGGTTTCCCCCTCCTTTTTACACTATTTTCCTCCCTCACTTTTATTTTCTTAAGGTATCAAATCTTCAATGTGTACTGTTCCACAGTGCCTGTGAACCACTGGTGTCTCACGCTGATGCCCCATAAATGACCTGACCTGCTGAATGTCTATTCCACTATGGTCTCAGCACAGCCTGACACTGTCCTCATATACTCTCCCATGCAGCAAGTGATGTGGAGTCACTGAGTAACAGAAACCCTCACCTTTTCCTGACCATGCTTCAGCCCAGTGGTCTTGTAGAAGCTATAGAACTATAGAAGCTCTGCCGTCCTAGTTGTGTACGACTAAGTCAGCACAAACCTGAGTTATTACAGTTCACACAAAAAGTACCACTTTGCTACACATTGTCAAATGGATTTAGAGGTTAACTTGTTTTCATGGTCAAACTGGACTTATTTTTTGCAAGTTTTTGGTTATGGAGCTGTTAATTTGAAAATGGTTTGCCACTTTCGAGATCCAGTTTGAAAGACCAGGAAAACTTTCTATTTTAAGTAAGTAACTAAATTACTTGTATTAGATTCAAGTACAAATACATACCGTGCATCAAATCAAAAGGTATATATTTTAAGTACTAAACACAGTTTTTCTGTTTCTAACTTCCTGATCTGTTGCACTTGGATAGATAATGGCACTGCAGCTATTTGCATGATATTCATCATGAAGTGACATTATGCAAATGCAAACAGTCAAGCTGCACGTTGCAATCACCAACCCACAGCTGATCACCGCGATAGTACAGGCAGGTTCCCAAGACTTGCGAGATAAAGATGTGTCTTGTTTATCCCTGTCCAGAGTTGAGTGTTAGGTACTTTGTATGCTTGAAAAATGTCACCTCAGTCTCTTCTAATTGTTCAGATTCAGTAGTGACAGTTTGATGCTGTACTTACAATACTAGATATGCTGACTTTACATGTCAGTGGGGACATTTTATAAAAATTTTCACCAAGTTTTGATAGTGTTATGCTAAACTCTGAATACCTAATGACTTTTGATATTCTAAATTAATTCCTGATTGAAAATGATAGTTTGCTTGCTCAAATAATGTAACATCATGTTGCAGCCAACTTGAATTAATAGAATACATCTATAAGAACTAATACCTTAACTAGTCAGAATAAAAATCCCTTTTCTTTATTGATGCAATGACTATGTAACGTCGATACGCTTTCCATCTAATATTTTCTTTCACTTTGAGAGACGCTTTATTTTTATAATGTGTACAATTTAGAGTTTTATATTTGGGAGTTTTAATTTCTGAGAAACAATATTCAGTATTGCCTGTTTAATAAGCATCACATCAGTCTTGTAAACGTTGTAAGAAACTTGTATTGGTGACATGACAGATAGTGTTGCATTATGCAGTTACTTGTGTATTTTCATTCATTAATAGTACAGTGTATGATATTGTCTGTAAATATTGCAATTCACATGTGATTATGCTCCAGGACTGTAAATATGCTTAATATTTTTATCATATATTGTATTGAGGATTCTGTTTAGATAAAGGCAAATTTATTGTGTTTGGATTGGTACAGGGCTGCATTCACAATAAATATCCAAAATATTAACAGGCTGAAATATATCTCTTAGAAATATATCAAGGACGTGAAAGAAGTGGCACAGTGAAATGCTGTGTAGTACAAAGAGGTTTAATGGTATTACAAGTGCTTTTCCTCTTGGGAAATTGTAACTGTAATTGCTTTAAAGCCATTCTTTTGAGAAGATGTGTAATGCTGCACATGGTTTTTCCAAATTGCTGTAATGTGAGGATCTTTATTCAATGGAATAATGGCATTCCTACAATCAATTCTATCAGGAAATGCATGCCTGCCACAATAAGTGTAGTTTTACTACAAGCCTGCAATTAGAACAAAATGTTGAGCAAAGTGATCAAATGAGAAATCCCCAAGAAATGCAGCAGGTTTTGAAGTTGGAAATAAGAAATACTAAATGCTATAGTTCAGCATTCTGATTGCCTGGGTAGCCAATAATTGTGTGTGTCTGTTTGTAGGGAGGACTACGCTGGGATGCTGGACACAGTAAGCTTCCTCATTAGCTCAAACCTTAGTAATTAACTCTTTGAAAACTAATTCAATCATTTAAATCTAACTGGGATTTTGGCAAGTCTGACATTAAGTTCACGTTGAAATTGATAGTTTTAGAAGTTTTGTTTTTAAAAGGTTATATTACTTACATCAAAGAAACAGTATCCAATTTTAAAATTGTAATGACTAAGTTATTAAAAGGTATAGCCACCGTGTTCAGTTTCAGTCACAGAAGGCTTCTACAGAATCACTAAAGTATTACAGCTGGCATTGCTTTTAAATTAATTTACTGATGAAGGCATAAAATTGAAGACAATGCTTCCTGGTTTTATGAAGGGTTCAGGTTTCAATGCATTGGAGGTCTATATTTGTAGGGTGTATCTAGATCAGTCTGTTTACTTCTGAAGAGAAAGCAAAGTGTGAAAAATACTTGTTGAGTTTTCATTACTGAGTGATTTTTTTTTTGTTCAAAAAATTATTTTTTTGCACTTGCTCCTCTGCTGGCTTCCCACCAGCAGCAAATTCTGTGGCACTGACTTCACTGATGCCAAATGGAAACTGACAAGTTGACACTTCTCTCCCCTGAGAAAATGAGACCCTCTCCATTTAAACTGTTTGAGAATGAATATATTGAACACTTTTGCTGCGAGCAGCCTTCATTTCTTCAGGTGTGTGTGCATCAAAATGAGCAGGTATTTAATAAGGAGAGGTTCAGTGGGCTGTATAGGGAATAGGATATTGAATGTTTCACTAATGTATCCCTCTATAACCATTACTGTAAATCAAATTGCCTATTCTTTGTCCATACAAGGATCTATTATTTAAGTCTGGATAATAATGTCTAATCACTAGTGTCTTTCTAAGTTTTTTAAAACTAAACATAAATGCTGAAAGATCCAAGTTCCTTCATAGCTCTTGCCCGAGCAATCCAAAATTAATTGATTTCTACATTGAAGTTGTTGCTGACATTACACTGATTTAAAAAGATGAATATTTCAGAGGTTTGGCTGACTTTATTTGACTTTTAAATTGGAGTATAGCAGATATGAAGAATTATGATTGCATTGTGAGGTTTCCACTATGAAAGACTATGCAACAAAGGTTGTTGGTTTATTTAATATCATTACGCAAGATCCACATGTTTTGTTTGTTTTACTAAAGTATTAGCTTCTATAGTTGCAAAATTGCACTGTAAAAAGCACTTTAAATGCTACAGCTATTCAACTCAGCTTTACTGTGCGATTAATCCTAAATACCAAACTGGATGGCAATGTTTCTGTAACTGGATTATTGTAAACTGATCTTTTCATTTTAAGAGAAGCTTCAGATAACCCTTTAATTATTGTGAATGTTTAACCTCTGGAGTTAAAACAGTATACAGCTTGTATATTTTAACAATTTTTGCTAAACCATTAAACTTTGACTACTAATATTGCAATTGTCTAAGTGACTATTTTTGGAATTTCAAATCATATGACTAATAAAACATAATGGAATGTATATTGATTTATATTGGAAATGTACAGTGACAGACTGATACACATTTAATTGTGCTGTACTTGAAGTTTAATGGCCTTCCAGAACAGTGCTATGTACAAAAGTGCTTACTCTAATTATCAACATCAAGTGCAAAAATGCCTATTAAGTTCTTAAAAAGTTTTGCAGCTTCACAAGTAATACAAAGGAAAATTTCAGTGAGCCACATTACATGTGTTGGAGGTGGTTCAAATGAGGATTAATTTTTATCAATACCTGGAATGTGTGGATTATTTTGAGGGTAGGTTGAGCTTGTTCTCAATGCAGTCTAGAAGAGCGAGAGGGTGACTAGATTGGAGTATGTAAGTTTCCGAATGTTCGTTACAAGGTTGATATGGACAGAATGTTTCCTTTTGAGTGTTGGTCCAAAAGAGTTGATAGTTTTAAAATTAGGAATTTTTAGGACAGAGACAAAATATTTTTTCTAAGGGCTATGGGAATTTGGAACTCTCTCTACCTTGGCCTTAAAAATATATTTAATGATGTCACCGCCTCGGAGACAGATTATTGTCAGGCAGGAGTATCAAAGGTTGTCATGAGCAGGTGGAAATGTGGAATTCAAAACCAACAGATCAGCGATGGAGTCAGCTTGAGGAGCTTACCAAAATGTCATGAAAGAGGTAAGTTTTAAAAAAAGACTTTAATTCATATACCATGTTTTGTCACATCTGGAATTCCAAAATGCTAATGTAGTCACTGTTCTAGGAAACATGACAACCAATTTATGCATATGCTCTCATATACAGCAGTGTAATGACAAGACTGTTGTTGACTGAAGATAGTGACCAGGATATCAAAGGTAACACCTGTTGCTTGAAAGGAGACAGCACCTTCAGAGAGCTTTCTGTTTCTTGTCTTCTGCAGCATGTGGTTGTTGCATAGAATTATTCTCACTTTGAAACCTGTATGTTTACTGCTGGTTTACTATAAAAGAACCCAATTCATATTTCTAAAGCATAAAATAATGCTGGTCATTAATGCATGCTCAGTACTATGCAACAACAGTTTACAGTAATGTTGCATTGAAGCAGTTATTGTTGTATTAGTTTTGATGGTTCATTGTTGACACAGGTGATTTGGGAACCAGACCAAAAGGTTCCTCCTTAATAGCCAAAATCATATGGCAGTAGTAGGTGAGATTTGCAATATAGGATGGTATTTAGATTTGTGTGGTGACCAACTTCAGAAGCAACAATTTGTTGGTCACAAGATTGTATTTTCTGGAATTTTTAATAGGAACTGTCAAAAGTAGTTTTAAAAAAAAGCAGTCAGCTGTTGCTTATAGATAACGCAGTGTGGAGCAGAGGAGCAGGAGAGTTGATGTTTCCTGAAGGGGCCTGACCCGAAACGTCCACTTTCCTGCTCCTCTGATGCTGCCTGGCCTGCTGTGTTCCTCCAGCTCTGCGCTGTTATCTCTGACTCCAGCATCTGCCTATACTTTGTTTCCTTAGAACACATTTTCCAATTAATTCAATCCCACCGAATCTCCAGAAGTTTGCAGCTGACATCCCATAACTTCCTTGCTGTTTCTTCATTCCTCCCTTGAGGTGCCACAAATGCAGGTCTGCAGTCACTGTGGAGAAAGCCAAACGTATATCATATACAGCAGCCTTGAATCAAAATTGTGGTTCCGTTGCTGAAAAATCAACTTCAGGTGAAAAATGGTTTCCTATTGCAAACCAAAGTTAAAGCCAGAGTTAGGTTTCGTGGGACCTTACTTGCCTGTAAAAGTTTAAATTCTGTACATGTTTAACACTGTTTAATTCTTACCTGAAATAACTTGCTTCGTGAAGTTAAAGTAAATACAATATCTAAAAAGACGGCAATAGAAAGTATTATATAATCGAATAATATAAAATGTGGGATTTGGATTATAAAATAGAAGCAGGCAGATTCCTTTTAGTTCTGTGAACACTTTTTTGTTAAAAAAAATCAGTCATTGGAACGGTGCATCATTTCCAAGAAAGTATGTGACTTCAGTGAAGTGCCTGGCAGGATCTGTGATATTAATGTATGGGATGAATATTGCTGAGTTTTTAAATAGACCAGAAGTCACTTAACGGAGCATGGTCAATATAACAGTACCTTTCAGTAAATGTAAATGGTATTATGATGTTCCCAGCTGATGGTAGCACTGGACAAGTCATATCCAGCCAGATTTCATTCTGGGACATGTTTAATTTTTGCAGTTGTTAACCACAATGGGTGGTCACTGAATCATGACCAAACAAGGCTGTAGATACTCTTTAGGTTTTGATTTCAGTTCAGAAGAGAGAACAGCTTTCTCCAAGGAGGGAAATCAAGTTTTAGTTCCACCTTAACCAAAGCATTATTTGTGAAGCTTCTGAGCTGGGAGTCTTGGAAGTCTTCAAATTAAAACAACTGAAAGACCATCACAATTGTAAGGTTTCATGCCAGCTGACTCAGAGATCCTAAAACTGTTTCAGTAGTACAAGGAAAAGAATCTGGGAAAAGTCAGGAATTAAAATTACAGTTCAGATAAGAATGATATTTCTGTGGAATTGTGTAGCTGCGGACAGTGTTGGGAAACATGCTGAAACTTTGTTTTGCTGTTCGTGCTAAGACCTTTCTGTCTCATAGCTTTGTTCATTTTTCCTGTTTTGCGTAGTGAGCTTATTCTGTTGTTAAAGAATATCGACAGCCTTGTATGATCATGATTCAGTGACAAACCACTGTGGTTAACCACTGCAAAAATTAAACATATCCAGCCGATTTCCTTCTAGGACATGACTTGTCTGGTGCTGCCGTCAGCTGGAACACCATAACACCACTCACATTTACCATAAGGTACTGTTATATTGACCACGCTCCATTAAGTGACAGATATTGGTCAAATGCAGTTGGATGCCAAGACCTACTTGCACTGACTGGCATCTATCACTAGATGGAGTCCAGGAAGAGAAGCAAGAACTCAGAAGCAGATCCAGCAGCGAAGCGAGGCCACAGTCACAAAAAAATATACAGTCCTTGCCCACAGTCACAACTAAAGGAAGCGTGTGTCATTTCTTTTTTATTCATTCACTGGATGAGTATGTCACTGGCTAGGCCAGCATTTATTGTCCAGTCAGTTAAGAGTCAACCACATTGCTGTGTGTCTGGAGTCCATGTAGGCCAGATCAGGTAAGGATGGCAGTTTCCTTCCCTACAGGACATTAGTGAACCAGATGAATTTTGCTGACAATCTGCAATGGGTACGTGGTCGTCATTAGACTCTTAATTACAGATTCTTTTTAAATAAATTCAAATTCGTCTGTCATGGCGGGATTCAAACCCAGGTTCCCAGAACATTACCTGGGTCTGTGGATTAACAACAGTGCAGCAAAAATACCACTAAGTTATCGCCTCCCCCTCAGATGCAGTAATGGATGCACACGTACATTACTGACAGATATTGACAATGCATGCAAATGTTGATACAGAAGTGGGAATATAAACAGGCCCCAAAGAATAAACAAACAATGTTAAAATTGTGTTCCATGGTGTAATGTTAAATGAGGACGATCCGTGCCGAAAATGGAAACACGTGTTCACGTCCCATGCTCGTTATCTAAAAATATAAGAAATCTCCATTTTGTGTCTAAGGGCAGCACGTTTGATTTTAATACTTATAGCTGATCAACGCGAAGAGGAAATAGTGGTGGTATGGTAATGTCACTGGATTAGCAAGCAACAGGCCTAAGCTTATGCACGAGGGGACACAGGATCAAGTCCTGCCATGCCAGCTGGAGGAATTTAAATTCAATTAATTTTGAAAAAAACCTAGAATTGAAAGCTAGTCTGTGGTGGTAACCATGAAACTATGGTCGATTGTTGTTTTAAAAAAAAACCCTCTGGCTCACTATTGTCTTTTTCTAATTCATTCATGGGATGTGGGTTTATAGACAAATGGAAATCCGCCATTCTTATCGGGTCCAGCTTCCATGAGACTCCAGACCCACAGCAATGAGGTGGACTCTTTACTGTGTTCTGAAATGTTTGGCAGGCCCATTCAGTTAAAGGACAGTTAGGGAGGGCTAACAAATCCTGCTTCGCCACTGTTTACATTGTTTCCCATATCCCATGAAATAATGTTAACTTAAGCTTGTTTCAAAACTCTGAACCCATTTCCTCCTTTAGAGTTTTTTCAAGGTTGGCATCACACATTTTATTCCATTTTGTTTTTGAAAAAAATCAGGCTTGATGGAATTGGCTGTTTGCAATTTCATCCAAGTTTCATAATTCAATTTACAAATGGGATTATGTACAAACCTAAAATGTGTTCCAGAAATCTCTTGCAGCCCTTCAGCCACAGCACAGTATATACTCGTCTGTGCCCCCTGTTTTGGTGTTTTGATAAGAAACGTCAGAATCTTCCATGCCAAGGACATGACGAAGGAGTGCCTGGTTAGTTCGGATTTGACAGAGCCCGGATGCACAGAATTCACGGTGACTTTGGTGCCTGCGTCAAGTAAAGACACAAAGTGAAGTGTCAGTAGTTTATACAGTACCGCATGAAGACTCATGGATCCTACTGTCAACGTAAATCAAACCTGGAACTTTTGTACTCGGCTAATCACTGCCTTAACCAATTGAATCACTGGAAGCCCTTCAAATCATTTTACTTAAGTGCAGGACTCTGATTTCCCAGCATCAGTGAATCTACAATCGCTAACATGATGCCTGACTGACTAGTTTCTGACTAGGACTTGGACACAATCACTCAGATACCAGCTGCAGTGCGGTCCTCTTCAGATGGTCTGTCTTCACCAGCAGAGAGAGATAGTGTAGCAGAAGAAATGTCATGGAAACTGCCTAAAATGTGCTCTCAAAATGCAGTGAGTAAACTGACCGCAAGAAAAGAACTGTTAGTAATTAAATACTTTCCAGTGATGCAAAATAAGCCATCAAGACCTTCGGCTGATTGAAGGGGGCATATTTACAGTCCTGCCTTTTTTGTTTGGAACCTGTGGCCAAAAACCTAAGAGGCTAATGACCTGATACAGGCTGGATCCTGGTGTTTCACTGGTTTCGAGATCATCCAGGATATTGCCAGAGCTGAGTGAGGTGAAGAAGACGAGGAAGGCTGAACTCTAACATGTTACATTCAGATCATTTGGTAGAATTGAGGAGTTTCAAAGAAACTTTGGTCTTAAATTGGTTCTTTCAGTAGCCTTTGCAATAGCAAACATGGGTTCAGTGAAGGCAAAAATGGGTCTCCATCAACTATAAAGTGCAAAACGGGGCTGGATTTTCTTAATTTGGATTCGACTTACTGTATTTAAAATAGGCCTTCTACAAATAACTATATCTTGAAGAAAGAATTTTGACCATGCGCTGATCAGTGGCAACCCTGATCTTACCCACATACATATATTACTTGTTGGCACCAAAGTTATTGTGATCAGAAACTGGATTTCTAGCCATTTGCTTTCCCCCGCTCGCACAGGACAACTGAAACCCATGGAAACGTCCCTGCCCACTGCACAGGTGGAGACTATTGTCTAGGAGAATGTGCATGGAGCCATACGTCACTCTGGATCCTTGGTTACTTTCAGCTTCTGTTAGATATGATTATCTGATGAACCTGAAAAAGCTAGCATTTATTAATTATGCTTTGAACTGTAATTGATTGGTTTTGAACGAAATGATCTTTACGCAATATTTCAACCAACATTTGGAGATACAATTTGCATCTTACCTTTAAGGCGCTTGGCCAATTCCCGAGTGAACAGTACATTTGCCAGTTTACTTTGGCAGTAAGCCAAGCCCCCATCATAACTCTTTTCACTCTGAAGGTCTTTAAAGTTGATTCGACCGAAAACGTGAGCGAAGGACGATATGTTAATGATGCGAGCTGGGGCTGACCTTTTCATGAAGTCGAGAAGCAGGTAGGTCAGCAAGAAATGACCTAAAGGCAAAGGAATGCAAAACATTCTACTTCTGAGATCTTTCTTAGATTGTTCAGTTCTCTGGAAAATTCTGTTGTGATTAGAACTGTAAAGGACCTTACTCTGCTGCAAACTGAAAATTCATAGGAAATGCAGAAGTCATCTGATCAATGCAACACCAGTGATTTAGATTTAGACAGGTAGAATACTGTGAATCTGAAATAAAGACTGAGGGTGGTGCTGGAAATACTCAGAAGCTCAGGCAGCATCTGAGGAGAGAGAGAAAACAGAATTGACGTTTTAGTTCTGTGACCTTTCATTGAGATTTGGAACAAATTACCCCTGCAATTTAAAGCATAAAAAGGCTTGCAGTTAAAAAGTGCCTGATGTCCTCAGCATGTTCTAAAATGTCTTGAACCATTACACTACTTCAGAAATGTAATTATATATGTAAACATGTAACTCGTTTGCTCACAGTAGAGTTAATAGCATAATAGGGTAGCATTTTTTGATTTTGGTAGTTTCTGATAGAATATTGGTCTATTCTCCCGTGACTGGGATCTTTTGCATAGCGTTTAACCACTGGAAGAAACAAAGTGCCTCTAATTGAAACAAACTACTGCAGAGGCAGATTCTTCCATTCTTAAGAAGAATCGTATTGAACTTGAAGCATTACCTCTGCTTTTCTTGGCACAAATGCTGCCACACCAGCATTCTCTGTTTGCATCACAAAGCATTGCTGTTGGCCACCATGCTTAGTAATGGTTTTAAGTTAGCTGCAGTTCTTGGATGTCTCAGGCACATGGTCTTGGATAGATACGGGGGTGGCTATGTTAGGGGTCTGAGGCTCTGTGAGGCTCATTACACATGGCAAGGTGCTTTGTGCTTGGGCCAGGGGCTGTTTTGTGGGGACCCAGGCTCCGAGGAGCACTAGGGTCTGAGATTTCTGTCCCTGCCCTCGCTAAGGCATAGTGCTCTACACCATCCCAACACAAACCTCATGACTAATGGTAAAGTTCCTTTAGTGGGGAATGATTTATAAATTGTAAAGGCCTGCAGGGTGCTGAGAGATTTTAACACTTAAACTGTAGTAATGCGTTCAAATGACTCTTTAATGTCATATAATGAAGCACATCGATCCATTCTTTGAAGGATCGATGGGTTTTACCAGCGAGTGCCTGAGCTATACCGGTGAGTCCCATGTTCATTGAGGGTTCTGAGTAAGGCTTGTGTTGGTCTAAGGGCTCCTGTGCTTTGAGTGATGGGGAAAACAGAGTCATAGAGCATGGAAACAGGCCCTTTGGACCAACTTGCCCATGCCGCCCAGTTTTCACAATTAAAACTAGTCCCATTTGCATGCGTTTTGTCCATATCCCTCCATACCGATCTCATCCATGTATCTGTCTAAATGTTTCTTAAATGATGAAATTGTACTCGCTTCCATCACTATCTCTGGCAGACCGTTCCAAACACTCACCAACAGAAATTCCCCCTCTGGACCCTTTTGTATTTCTCCCCTCTCGCCTTAAATCACTGTCCTCTAGTTTTAGACTCTCCTACCCTGGTGGATAGTATCCAAAATCCAAAAATCCATAAAGTACAACAAAATCTGAAACAAAAAGAGAGGCTGCTGGAGAAACTCAGCAAGTCTGGCAGCATCTGTGAAGACAGAAACAGCTTCGAGTCCGGTGTCCCTTCATCAGAACAAAAATCCATGCTGAGTTCCAAGAATAGACTCCCTCACAATCGATCAACCTGCTGCAGCCCACTGCACATCAGAAGTGCTACATCAGTAAGGCTCGAGCCCAGCAAGGTATCATTCTCTCCATGGAGGGGAGAAAACAGGCTGATGGAAAAACATCCAAATATCCTGCTGAAATGAGAGAGCTCACCTCTAAACAGCACTTTTTACAGCTTCTGAATCTGCCACATATTTATGGTAGTTAATACATGACCTTTAAAGTGCAGTTACTGTTGCGATGTAGGCAAATGCACCAACTTTTTTTTTGCACTCCAAGGTCACAGAAAGATTTTTAGTTAAAGGAATGCAATCTGCATTTATAACTTACCCAGATGATTTACACCAAATTGCATCTCAAACCCATCAGTCGTCTTTGTGTAGGGGCACATCATCACCCCAGCATTGTTGATCAAAATATTGATGAGCTTCTCCTCTGTCAGAAAACAGAATTGGGAATGAGAAAATAAGTCACAATATGGAAAATGTGTCAATTGGATCTGTTCTTTACGATGCGGTGCCAAGTTATGGGAACACATCATTTCAGCCTGGGTTTACTAGTTTATTAATACAAAAGCAAAGAGCTGCAGCTGCTGGAAATCTGACATAAGAACAGAAAATGCTGGAAATGGTCAGCAGGTCACGGACCTGAAAGTTTAATTCTATTCCTCTATACACGCTCAGTATCTTTGGCATTTTGTGTTTTTATTGCTTGTTTGTTACACAACTCCCTCCCTCTCTTTCAGAGCAGGCCAAGCAACTCCTGCACTGCAAAGGGCAGAATGTCACAGGAGTTGATAGATGAGAGAAAAGACATATCTGGTTTGCCTGACATCAACTAGGAGGCAATGGGCAAAACATGGCCGTCAATTTCTACTTGTTAGTCTCAGCAGGCCGAGAAATGACAAAGCCAGGACGGGGTGCTGGATAGCTTTCGGGAACAGAAGTCCATAATGACCTCCTACAGCCCAAGCATAGAATCCCTACAGTGTGGAAGCAGGCCATTTGGCCCATCAAGTCCACACCGACCCTCGCTAACCACAGAGACTGGCATTCTAGCCCTCTTGAAATGAATAATATTATATTTGCCTATCTAACTGTCAATTGAACTTGCACGTTATCCCGAAGAGAATCCTGAACTCAGGCTAACAAGTCCCCTCGAGCTTCAGATTTCCAAAGCCTTTCACCATTTAGAAAATAGTCTACACCTCTGTTCTAATCACAACCTCATAATCATAACCTCACACACGTTCCAACATTGCATTCCACCTGCCAGTCGAACCTTAAGAGAATCCTGAACGAGAACTCATGCCGTACATCATGTCACAAAATACTTCTATATTGTATCCCAAAATGTTAATTCTGTCACACAGCTCTATTCAACATCCACCTGAACAAATCGATATAAATGCCTTCCACTGTGGGAGTCTGTTCCAAAGACTGGTCACTGGAATATTGAATTTACCCCCTTCCTGTCCTCCTCTCCTCAAGCTTCTCCCCCAGTATTTATGCAGCAGTGCCCCTAAAGTAAGGGATCCAGTGAACAGAGAGCTGATTGATTACTATGTTACTAGTCTGGATTACTCGTCCTTTGCTTTACCATTCTCTGGCTGTGTCAAACTGTACCATTAATTCACGCCTTGGTTTAAATAACTTCCAGGTTTTAGGGATCTACTACACTTGCTGCCAATGCTTTTCATTAATTGTGGTGTACAGTGCACCCAACCATCACAGGAACAAGCCCCCTTCAAAAGGCAAGAAGGGCTCAAGTAACCTGTTTGCGTTTGGTTTTTATTTGAGGTCAGCACTATGAAATTTTTAATAATTACAGCATCAGTGTTAGCCTGCTGACATTTGCACATCTCAATCCAGTCTTGCAGCTACAACCCTTTATTGCTGTATGCCTTGAGCATCATTAGCAGAGCCAGCATTTGCTGACACTCCCATATTAGACACTTGACTAGGGATGCAAAATAATTTTTTCCCCTGGAGCATTGGAGACTGAGGGGTAACCTATAAAATCATGATAGGCATAGATAAGGTGGATAGCCAACAGCTTCTTCCCCATGGTAGGGGAGTCTAAAACTAGAGGGCGTATATGTAAGATGGGAGGGGAGAGATACAAAAGGGTCCAGAGAGGCAACTTTTTTCACACAGTGGGTGGTGAGTGTCTGGAAAGGAATATAGACCAAACGCAGGCAAATGGGGCTAGATTAATTGTGAAAACAGGGCAGCGTGGGCAGGTTGGGCCGAAGGGCATGTTTCCATGCTGTAAATCTCAATGATG